GATTTCGGATTTAGCTCGGGTTTGAGCAAATTATTTATATATGTATTTGACGGACTTAATGCATTGTTCTCATGCATGGTTTTCTAACAGTGGGGTTATATTACTTTGGTTTAAATTGAACTAAACTTTGTTTTGTCCACTCACAATTTTCTGTTTTGCGCCCCACAGCCAGTAGTGACTGGTACGAGCAGCAGAGCTGTGTCGTGTGCCCTTGAACCGTGAACTTTGGTGCTCCGAGCTTTTGTAGAGCTTCGGTACCCTGTTAATTCGTAAAACTCTTTTTTTTACTGGTTGGTTGAATTCTGTTAGATGCTCTGTTATTGCCCAGTTAGAATTTGGTATTTTGAGGCCGGAGGCCATGGTTTGTAACACTAAGTACCCTGTTAATTCGTAAAACTCTTTTTTTTACTGGTTGGTTGAATTCTATTAGATGCTCTGTTATTGCCCAGTTAGAATTTGGTATTTTGAGGCCGGAGGCCATGGTTTGTAACACTAAGCTTTGTGTATATTTTACGCTGGCTGTTGGGTTGAATTTTTATCTGTGTTTCTGACAAGTTGAAATTATTGGGATATGTCCTGTTTACAGGGGAGACTCTGCCAAAATTTTTGGTGGAAAGTCTCGGTTTTTAGTAAGTGGGCCCGGCATCTGCGGTATGCCGGACATTTAGGCGGGATCCGACCCGGGTTCCATGGAAATCCGGGGCGGGTCCTGTCAGTTGCACCGCAGTCAACAAAGAATTTAGACACGGGTATCCCCTCCACATGAGCCGAGATGTATAATGGCTTTAGGTGCCGATATTTGTTTGGCTCACCCTTGGGTATGACCTCGTTAAAGGCTACGTCCAGTAACTCCTCCTTCGTCTTCGGTCTCTGATCAGGCTGCTCTTCAAGCACGTCATTGTCAAGGCCGCTGCTCTGACCATCTGGGGTTGAAAACTCGGTAGGTAAAACCAAAACCATGTTTACGTTCACTTCACGTGGTCCACACAGGTTTTCTTGCCGACTTTTTCTTTAGTCGTACAGTCATCCTTGGCTATACCCCTCTCTTCGACCACCCAGAAAATCCCCTCGCATTCTTCATCCGATAACCCCAACGTGGGTTCATCTCCGGCCTCATTCTCAAGGAACGGATCACCGAAGCCGTCAAATACTGGCTTCGTGGGCTCATGGACCTCATTCGTGGAGGCTTTGATTGCAGAGGCGCTCAGAACCTTGGATTTTCCTTCAAGGACCTGTCTGGCCCTGGTCAACGCATCTCTGTCCGTGAGGTATTCATCTAATTGGCTGATCCAAACCTTCTCCTCTACCATCAAACTAAAGATGGCGTCGGCAGGGGTTACGGTAAAGTACTGTCGAAGGTAATTCAAATCGTCCTTGTTGAAAAGGGCCTTGGTCTCCAATCTTTTCAAGTTAGGTTGGTAGGCCACCATCCCTTTTGCCCTGGCCTCACAGTTCACTTGGTACACGGCTTTAATGGCCGAGTTGGAGACCTTGGTAATAAGGAGGCCTTCTGCCTTCGAGTTCTTAAGGGCCAACTCTACGATTTCCTGCTTCTAAGGCACCATGCCGTGTAGATCAGTGGCAGAGGAATCTTTGTGGAACTCCAGGAGGAAGGATAAACTGTTGGTCGAGAATGGGGGGTCCCTTCAGCGGTAAACATCGATGATACCCTCATCAGACTTCTCTGGGGTCACAGCCTTTGGCTCTTTGGAAGCGGTCGTTGCTTCACGGGAGTCTCCGTCATGCCGAGGAGGCCACACCCTTGGCCCCTTAGTGTCAAGATCTTCGGTCGCGGAGGTGTTGGCTGGAACGGACGGCGGTACTTCCGCAGCAGTCATTTTCTTCTAGAGCTTAGAGCCTTCGACCTAGGTCGATTGCGCCCTGGCCTACTGAGCTTGCCTCTGCATTCTCCTCAACTGGATTTTCATCAATGACTCGGACCTGCCCCCAGGCCGAGTGTGGTACCAGTGATCATCTTGCACCGCCGGAGGTCTGAAAGTTTTGATCTACCTCGGGACGCCCTTTTCCTCTCGCTTGAACGAGACACTAGGTGACCGTACTGGCTAGCAGACTTATTCATGGTCGGTCGAGAGGGCTTGACGGCCTTTCTCTTATTCTCATGTGGCCTTGGTTGGCTGATCTCATTCTTGCATCGGTCGCAGATCACCAATTCTGGTTCGGGCAACAGTCCCTTTCCTCTTGCCGGCTTCGACGTTGATGCCGACCCTCCTACCGCGGCCTCACTAGGCCGCTAAACTCCCCTATATTCAGCCCAAAACTGGGCATTGACCATGTTGATGATTGGTGGAGGGAATGGCTCGGTGTCAACCTTCATGGCAGTCTTCTCCGAAAACTGGAGTTTCTTCTCGTCTATCAACTTCTGAATAACGTCTCGCAGGACGATACAGTTGTTGGTGATGTGAGACCAAGAGCTGTGGTATTTGCAAAAAGTCTTCCCTTTGAGCTCCTCGGCTTTTGGAATCTTATGACCGAAGGACAATTTAACTTTTTTCTGGACCAATAATAGATAAAAAATCCCTTCGGCCCTTGTCAAATCAAAGGTGTGTTTGTGCCTAATAAATCTCAGTCTCAAAAGCCAACCGAGGGAACTTCCTCTCGGCCTTAGCACCTGCCCAGGAAAGACAAACATGGCAGGGTGTTGTTCGTTTTCTTTCATGCAACCAAAATGAGGTGTGAAGGCGAAACCCCCACGGCCTCGGCATTTTAGGCCGAGGCCGAATAGAGCAATTATTCCTTAAACTGACGGCCGAGGTAAAGGGCCAAGTAGTATCGCCACGTGGCATCAGGGTCCCACGCTTCATTTAATGAAGTAACGTCTCTGACTACAGCAGAAGACCCACTGGCCATAAAAAGCATTTAATGCACGAGGAAAAGGGGAAGTGATTGGAGTCAGGGTATGATGAGAGAAGAATAGAGTGATTAGGCGCAAACATTCTTACAGCTTGAGAGTTTAGGTCACCAACCGTCAGTCCAGAGTGTTAAATGCTTCTCCACGGCTCAAAACGCAGAACCCATGATCTGAGGGGTGGCCGGGATTTAGGGGTCACACCAACATACTTCACGCTCCCAAATGCCGATTTGACCATCCACTGACTCTGATCAACCCCACCATGCAGATTTTCAGCCTCAATTGTCCCTACAGAGCTCCTCCTATAAATACCAAACTCAAACTACATTCAAGGTATTCAACACCAAACACAAGCCTCCTACGGAGCAAATTATATTTTCCTGTCATTTACTTCCTTGTAACACACTTTCAATATTTTTACTTGCTTTCTTAGGAGTAGTGGCAGTTTGTAGGAAAATCCATTCATCAATATATCATACGACCCTTGATTTTTAAGGCGCTGGAGCAGCATCCTTGATTACTCTTTCATTCACCCCATATATCATACGAGCATCACCACCCAGAGACGCGTCGGAGTACCACCCAAAACCACCATCAGCACCACCCTCAACGGCCTTGTAGCTCAGGCCGTGAACCTGACGGCCGAGATCAGTTCCTATCTTGGCCACAATCGTTTGAATAGAAGTCAAAACTCAAACAGGCGCGCAACCTTACCATCCAACCTCATCACTCTCAAACGCACGATAAATCGTGCTAGCACGCCCGCGCACAACCGCACCGCACCAAAAGAAGGACGCCACATGTCGACGCAGATCCCCTCGGCTAATAACAATAGGCCGTGAGATTTGCGGAGCCAACAAGGTGTAGGCCTTCGTTTCTCGGGTCGCAAATGTAAGACCCGTGTCTTGTGGAAACAAGAACGATGAGCAATTCCACATCGCTCGGGGAGGGAAAAGTGAAGTGCTTTAAATGTGTGGGCACTTCTCTTCCTAGCACGAGGCCTTTTGGGAGCTCACTTGCTTCGGATTCTTAGGAACTCTGAAGTTAAGCGAGTTGGGGGCTAGAGCAATCCCAGGATGGGTGACCCACTGGGAAGTTGCTCGTGAGCTCCCAGAAACAAAACTGTGAGGGCAGAAAGGGGGGCCCAAAGCGGACAATATCGTGCTAGGGGAGTCGGGTAGTGACAGCAAACTTAGCGTCGGGAATCTTTGTTCGACTGTTGTCGGCCTTGACAAGTTCTTTACAGACAAAAGGTTTGTTGATGCTGACTTCGGCCGAGCTTACCTCAACTTCAGCATTCTCGGTCATGATGGGGCTGTCCATCTCAGCATAACCGACGACAGGATTCTTATAATATGTCCCTTTTGAGGCCGTTTCCTTCTGCATTTCTTCTTTCAACAGGGATGCGTACCTATCCACTTTGTTGGTTAGGTCGTCCATGTCTTGGAATTCGATCCCTGGAACTTCTTCCGGTACTCGAATTCCAGCCCTTTTGACGAACTCCTTCTCTGGTAGGTTAGTCCGGCACCAGTTCCTGCATGTCTTAAATCGCTGCAGGTAGTCGTGGGGCATCTCGCCTGATGCCTGGCTCATCCTTGCCAGCTCGGCGACAGTTATCTCTCGATTGGTCTGGTAGAAGTGTTCATGGAATATCCTCCCCATGTCAGACCAGTCCCTTACTGAATTCGGTAAAAGGTTTATGAACTAAGAGAACGCTGCATCGGTCAGGGAGTGAACAAACAATCGGAGCTTCTGGGCGTCTGAGTCGGCCTCCCCACACTGGGCCGTGAAACAGCCTATGTGTTCGATAGAGGAGGTGTGCCCATCTCCGGAAAATAACATGAATTTTGGCAGTTGATAGTTCCGGGGAAGGGGAGTACGGTCAATCTCTGGTGGGTAAGGCTTGGTATACCTTGGTGCCTCCGGCCGTCTTTGAGCTAGGTTGTCCTCGATCATTCGCCGAATGTCTTCGACTTGAAGCCTTTGAGGGGCGGTTCCAGTCGAGCTGCACACGATTGCTGGACCTGCTGCGCATCATTTTGTAGTCTCACCTACTGGGCTGTTTTTGGTCGTGGCAAGATATAGAAGGGTATTGAGAGATTAGGTCACTTTCAAATCAAACCTTTCATGAGGGTCTTTACTTATAATAGATGACAGTTCTTTAAAAAAAACTGTCATCTTTACATATAATAGACGACTGTTCTTTCAAAACAACCATGTCTTTATCAAAAAAAGGACACTTGATTTTTAAAAGACGACGCTTGTCATACTTGTTGTCGTTGTTTTTTGGTCAGATTTTAACTCTGAAGAAAACCTTTTTAATAAGACGACGCTTTTTTATTTGTGTGCGTCGTTGTTTGGGCTTAAATTTGGCGCGCCCAAGCCGAAAGAAGAAAGCCCACGTCACTGCCTAAAGCCATTTGTTTCAATGTTCTCAGCCCATCAACACGGCCCAAAACGTTAAGAGGCCTGGGAACAGTGGGAATCAGGAAAGACTTGGGTCTCGAAGAAATTCAAAATTGGGCTCAAAAGCAAACTAGACTCAAGCTGGTCTTCAAAACGGAACAGCTCCACGTGACCCCTGACTTGGAAAAGTCAATAAAATCGGCTCGAGTTAAAGTTTGAACAGGGGCAGGTATAAAGAAGAACATCTCTGAAGTAGCTTTGTTGCCAGGAGATCAAATTCCGATTATTTTATCCAAAGATATTCTGATATTTTTAGAAGAGCACCATTTTCAAAGATAAGCAGACTCTGCTTCTGCGAAAAGGAGATAAGCGGGAAACAGGGAGCTGTCCAAAAACTGAGAAACTGCTATCTCAAAACTTTCAGACTCTTGCAAAAGCAGTTGAAATGAAAGAACAGGCATGGCACCCCATCAAAAATACAGAAGTAGTCACCTCAGGAACTGATCGTTGAGTGTTTACTCGCCAGAAAGTGGATGGAACCCCTGTTTGTTTCAATTAAAAATTAAAAAGATCTTTTGATTACTTGCCGCCCACTCTCAAAAAACATTTCTTATATATACAAGAGAGGGTGAATAGAAAACACACAATCAATCAACACAACCAAAAACTCAGTCGAAAGACAAACACTCAAAATGATCACTTGATCGCAAAAACTTCAAACTAAGTTCAACAGACCCAGAGTTTGAAACATCTCAAATTCAAAAGCTTTTCAACAAGCTTGCAGAATCATCCTGCTTCTTCCCAGCAAAAAACAGTCAGAATACCACCTCTGATTTGAATCCCAGTTCACAAGTCAACAATAACGAGATTTCTCTAGTTACAAATTTGGTTCAGCAAAAGCCAAGACAAGCAGAGTTTGAGTTTTCTCAAATACGAAAACCTCAACAAATTTATGGAGAGCCCTGACTAAGCAGCACAGGTACCACAGTACACCTCCAGCTCAAGTCCGGCCACTTCTGCCCCTTTCAGACTGGAGAAGCCCCAGTTCTGCCCACCAAAAAGCCGTCCAGGGCTTGAAATAGATTAAAACTCTGCTAAACTCAAGCTTTGGTATCGATTTGCAGCCAAAACCTATCAGTTAAAGCTGTTTAAGGTCCAATCCAGCACAGACGCATCCAGTCCAGCCCAGAACAGAGGCAACTATCCAGACAGAAATGGAAGCGCAACCCTCCTCTTGTCTTTGTACAGTCAGTTTTCCCTTTTTGAGTCTTGTAAAAGGGAGTTCTGCCTGAAAATAGTTCAATCTGTTATCATTTATTCTGGCCAGAACTACCGGTTATATGTTGAGAAAAATAATGAAGTCCTTACCTGTCTAAGGCATAGAAAAGAACTTACTTGGGAGATATTCCTCACCCAAATTCACGATCGTTTGTTCAAAGTCAATAGCTTGGGGCGCAAGCTATTCTTACTCTCAAGTCTGTTAGAATTAAAAAAGAAATTGCTAACAGTGGCACGCTCAACACATAAAGAAAGTTGATTTACTGACCAATCAATGGTCTTTAAATTAATGGGGAACTTTACCCTACCATCATAGGAAACCAATCAAAACGGGTAAACAGTCGTTATAAAAAAATATTCAATAGTACCTTAGTTTTTTAGTTGTTTAAGTCACTTATCCACGACGGTATTTTGTTACCGTCGTCTTTTTAAACACAACGACGGTTTTTTCTTCAACCGTCGTCTTTTTCTAGTCGTCTTTTTCACTTTTTGTAGTAGTGATTGTTAAACAACGACACAAACTAGACGACAGTGAATTTAAAAACCGTCATTGTGTTTCAAAAAACGATGGTTAAACAGTCGTGGTATGTAATCTAGTACACTACTAAAAGTGGTAGATTTTAAAAACACTACGGTGTGGAATTAACAAACGTCGTCCTTTGAAAACATGCTAAAACAAAAGGACACTTGAGTTATTCGCCCTCAACCAAAACATTTCAGAATTCCCCTCCTTTTGAAAATCGAACATCCCTCTCTCTCCCTCCTTTTGAAAATCGAAACCCTCAACTCTCTGAATCTCCCTCCCATTTGTTTCTTCTTAGTCTCTTAAACAAATCTGTAATTGGTCTCTATGGTCGTCACCGAGCTCGCCGACATAGGTCATTGTTTGCGACCCATCTTTAGCCCCTTGGTTGTCGTTGTCTCTGAGCTCTGCCTCCAATCTCATATCTCTATTACATATCTGAAGCACCATCTCCTCTCGTGCCATCCAGGTAATGGAACTCACCGAGATCGCCATCTCCCTCACGCTGTCTAGGTCACCGAGCTCGCCCCATCCATCTCATCGAGCTTGTCGAGCTCGCCATCTCTCTAGTGGATGAGAAGCGTGAGAAGATGCTTCAAATCTTTTACGACTCTCAAGATTTCTTCCTTGTGAGTATTATCACGCCCTAATGCTATAATTTTAATGAATTCATTCAATTTTTTGTAATTTTAATTTGTGAACCCTATTCGAATTGATTTCAATTGATTCTGTATTTTCAAATGTGGTTAATCTCTTTGTCATTGTGAACAATGTCAATGGTTTCAGCTTATATTGTACTTCTACAACTTTGTTTATATGTTTATTGGTGATTTTAGCTAAAGGAGCTTGAGAAGTCTGTCCCAAAGAAAGGTGTTATTTCTCAATCTGTGAAAGATGTGATCCAAAGTTTAGTGGATGATGACCTTGTTTTCAAAGACAAGATAGGAACCTATGTAAGTAGATGTTTCCACATACAGCTTTGCATCGTGGATGATGATCAGTTTAGTTCAGTTATTAGAGGTAGTAGAGAAGCTCATGCTTTATTATGTATGAAATCCTGATTTTTTTCGGACAACAATAATAAGCAAGTCTTCATATCACTCTTTAAGCTTTCTGATTATGTTCTGTTCTGAAATCCTGTGGGAGCGTCTTTTAAATGTCTATCTACATATTGTTACTAAAATTGTTCTTTTTTTCTTTTGGCCATTGGCCATATTATAACTTTATTTGTGATCAACTTTGTTTGGAAACATATTTTTTATGGGACATAATATAAAATTGTATATGAAGGAGAACTTAAAATTTGAATGCTTAATTCAACTTTCATTTATTCTTTCTTGGTTTCAGTAATATCTCTGCCAGTTAATCTAATTGATAATACAATTATTAAATCACCTGCAGTGCATAAGCACTTAATAATCACTTGGCTGCTGTCCAGCGAGACCATGAAGTCAGATCTCAAGTAGAAGAAAGAAAAATAAGAATTGATGGCAGGTAATATACTCAGGGCAGCAGAAAGTTCTTTGAATCTAGAGTAGGGGAGACTACAAAAGCTTAAACAGTCTGATGCTGAAAACCAGGCACTGAGATTACGCTCCATTGATGTCTGCTGGCACCCAAACATTAAGCCTTGAAGGCTTTATTCTATTGGTTTTGTGAAACAATGCTTCTGCTTTATTCTATTGGTATTTGCGAAATTAAACCCACTACTGTTTCTTTACAGATGGCGGACAGGTCAATCGCATACCCAGGCGGAATTATTGAAGATGTTCTAGTAAAGGTTGATACACTCATATTCCCAACAGATTTTTTGGTTTTGGATATGGAAGAAGATTCTGACACACAATTAATTTTGGGCCGTCCATTCCTGATTACTGGACGGACTCTGATTGACGTGGAAGAAGGTTTAATAACTGTGAGAGTTGGGAATGAAAAAGCGACATTCAAAGTTTTTGAACCAATAACATTTCACGGAAAAGCGGAGGAAAAGGAGACTCCGAGCCATCCATTGGTACATGCCTCCACCTCAAAAGCTGACAAACCAAGGGTTGCCGAACCTGCCTTGTACTTGGATGAACCAAAACCATATGACCCAGGAAGGAATGAGTTAGAGGAACTTCAAAATAAATCATATGAGAGTGCGAGAATTTACAAGGACCATGCAAAGAAGTGGCATGACAAGCATATCAAGAATGATCGTGACGGTACAACCTTCAAAATCAAAGGCCATCGATTGAAACCACATATGGCAGCTGCATTTCTTAAGGATGAGACCAACGTCCTCCTCAATAATCCCAAATAACGCATCTGAAAGGCGGGCTATTGACTCTAAACTAAGCGCTTGTTGGGAGGCAACCCAACTAGGTACCTTCGTTCCTTATCTTTTTAATTTTTCGTTTGTGTGCTTCTCGCGTTCATTACTTTTACTATTCTTTGTCCTTACTTTTATTTTATTTTTAAACATTGAGGACAATGTTTGGTTTAGGTTTGAGGTGGGTAACATTCGTTTTATTTTTATTTTTTTTCGTTTTTAGTCTTTTTCGAGTCATGCAAAACATTGGTGTTTATGTTTCGATAATACTGTTTTCATCTGTAATGGATTTGAAGATTTGGCTATCGTTGCCTTCTTCATTTTTTCGTGCTGAATCCAACCATATAAGGCCCGTAATTTTCTGAATTTTCGTTTGGAAGTTACAACTGTTTTTCTGAACAGGGGTCTGGAACTGAAATTTTTCTGCGATTCAGTACTGTGTTCTGTTTTCAACGTCAGTTTTCATGCAGTTCTAGTCTGTGTTCTGGTATTTTATCTAAAGATAAGTTGTGCGTTTGTTTGTCTATTTTCTGAGCATATAAGGCTTGTCAAAATCTGTGCAATACTTTAAGAGATAATTGTTGAAAACTGATCTAAGGTCGAACTTGAAAAGAAGCAGTTTTTGTGAAATATAAATTCTAGTTAAAGTTATCACTTTTCCTTGCTAATAGAGATGTATATGTCATGTTTTGATCATGAATGCTTTACTAACGTGTTGCCATGAAGGGTTATTGCATTATCATCTTTTCACTTCACAATACCATATTCGTAATATTTTGGTGGAAAAGGTTGCTATGCTCGAATGACTATGGAATATTAGTGGAGACTACCTTTGTGAGATATTGAGCCAAAAGCCATTTTCAATTGAATTTAAATATTTTATTGATATGTCAACTTTTCAGCCATTGGATTAAATTTAAATGACGTCATTAGTTAATGAATTTCTTAACATAAAAGAGAATTTGCTTAAATTAATAATTAAAGGGTATTTTAGGAATAATGGTGGGTGGAAAGATAGGATTGTGTTTTTTCAAATTTATATAGTGGGTGGGAAAATAAGGTGGGTGGGGAAATAGGACATGGGGGTGGAAATAGCAGCATTCTATTAATTTAATACAAATGATATTCTATTTTAAATTAATTTAAATTATCTTGGTTGTAGAGTCGGGAGTATATCCGCTCTAGCCAATTAATTAACCCATGTTTAATTTCTACTCCTTCCTTTATTCGTGCTAAAATTTACACTTTCATTCGTTTTTTTATATATAAATTTTACGAAATTCTTCTTATGCACTCACTCAAAGGGGAATGAATATTTAAAAAAATTTACATTAAATCTTTTTTGCTATTGGTAGATCTATTTTTGATAATATTCTTTTTGCTAATGAATTATTCCATGATTTTAAAAGAAAGAAAGGTAACAGAGGAGCTATAGATTCACGGCTGATCAGGCTCCAAATCCTCTTCTAATGAGTAATTTTCTCCAAGTTGTTGAGCCTTGCATCACCAGCCAAGATAACGTGAATCTTTTGGCTCCTGTTTCATATTATGAGCTGGAGTATGCTGTAAAGGGCATAGGGCCTCTTGATAATAACACAATAACACATATTTATTGCCCTTAACATTTAATTCCAAAACAAATATAAGGGTTAATTAAATAATATTGTGCAATTATATTTTTACTTGGTCAAATTGGTTTAATGTCATTTTGTTAACTTTGATCAATAACTTCCTATGTAGGTTTGTATGTTGTGAAAACCAACTCAATTTGCGTGCCAAGAAGTGTGCCACCCAAAGATAATATGTTAGTGGCCAATTAAAGAACTTCAACATATCCATGAAGCAATGATGATGAAGAAAGAAGTGCAACCAGCACAAGAAGAAAAGAATTGAAAAGAATGCATGAAGTGTCACACCCATTGATAGGACCCGACCTAAATTCCACTTTGGAATCCGAGCCGAACCCTGTGCACCTGGCGGGTGCCGGGCACAAATAACCAAAATACCCTTCTAAACCAAATCCAAAGAATTTCAAGCTCGACTTCTGCCGAAAATTTGACAGAGTCTCCCTTATAAAATGAACATTTCCCCAAAAAGCTTTCACCTGTCAAACAAGCATATATGAATATAACCCAACTGCCAGCATGTATCAAATTATATCAAAAGTCAAGCATCATATTATTCTGGCCTCAGGCCTCAATAAATCAAATAAATCATTCAGCTAATAAAATTCATCTCAACTCTCAGAATATCAATAATACATTAACAATCTCAAAGACTCCAACTCGTGGCTGCACCTTGTAACAAAAAGGCTGCCTACGTACCCTTACTGAGGGATCAAGCCACACGTAGCTCTTTTATTTCATTTCAGCATCCTGTTCCAAGCTTACTGGCATTACTCACATGTCAATAACTATATTCAAATGAAGGAATAAAAGAATTTAGATTCGAGTAATCATTCTTGGAAGGTCATAACTATTAATTACTCGTGACACCATTGGTGACACGTCCTACCCTGTAATCCTCGCTGGACTCAGGAGACATCTGGTCAACCTGATCCGCAATCCTCGCTCCCCCGATCCGGATATCTCTAAAACTCGGGGGCAAAGTATGCTAAAAATACTTGAGCTATTTAATACCATATCCAATAATAAAAAGATCAATGCAAACAACTTAAATAATATAAAATAAGATAAATTAAAGCAAAACGGATTAACTTAAAAAAAAATAAAATAAACAAGCTCCGAATACCCTGGTATCGAACTCGTGTAAGGTTCATAAATAATTAATTATGTGTATATATATATCCGTCTTTCTCTTTTGATATAAATATATCGATTAAGAAAATGATAGTAACTGTATAAAGTTCCTCACTTTTACTTTAAAAGCGTTTCAAAGCTTAATTTCTCTCCACATAGGCGTACCCCCATTCCTGTTCCATCAATTCCTTATAATTCGTCAATTCCATCCTCGCAGGCCTCAGAGATACCATTTCTATCTGAGCCGCAATACTCACAGGTCTCGGAGATACCACTTCTATCCGAGCCGCAATACTCGCAGGTCTCAGAGATAACTCTTCAATCTGAGCTGCAATACTCGCAGGTCTCGGAGATACAACTTCTATCTGAGCCGCAATACTCGCACCACACGGTTCAGGCGTCCCCGACACTCGTGGGGCATTATCAAAATAACCAAACTATTTCAAAGTAACTAGGGGCACCCTTGTGGTGGGTTTGAAAACCATAACCCTTTATTTATATCAACTTCCAATAAACCAAAGAACACTCACACGTACAAGAACCTCCTACAAGCTCATACACAAACCATCGAGCTCATCCTCCCTATTTTATTCAAGACTTGGTCCCTAGGTTCCTAATAGTACGTGCACTAACTTTAAAGTCATTTCTATGCTCACAGTAGCTTTTTCAAAGGTTTATGACAGTATAAAAGTACCTCGGGGCTCAAAAGTGCTAAAGTCTCAAAAAGTCAACTCGGGACCCCGTGGGGTCCCCAACCTTAGAATTCCGATCCGATCGTTCCTAGAGGTTCTAATATGCCTAGGACACATGTCCCGAAAGTCTGGTCTCGATTGGATGGTCGGATTGCTCACAATTGCCCAATTGGACGGCGGAACTATTTTCGTAACCCTCACCCTAGGGTTGGCCTTTTCGGAGTATCCGAGACTCCGATTTATGATCCGTCGAATTCTACACGATCCTAAAATTGCCTAGATCAACATACTCAAGTTTGACTATGATCCAACGGTTTGAACGTATTGAACCCGGAAATCGCACACTATGCGAGATCCGTTTGGGGTTCAAACGTTATTCAAATTGAAATCCGCAAATTCCTACGTGCTCGTGAGGATACAAGGATCGTTCTAGGACCAAAAGTGATCCCCCGATACCTAGCCCACGCGCCGTCCACACGCCGGCAGAGCGTGGGTGTACCTAGTAAATTCCGGCGGCCTGAAATTCTCCAAACCGCCGGCCCAAACTCTTACCCTAGGTAAAACAACTAATTTGGAACCACTTTTGTTCTTAGACCTACCCCAAAAAGTGACTGGAAATGGCCTAACTTGCGATCCCAAAATCGGCCAAAATCCAATTCGAGATTCAACCTATTAACGCTAGAAATCTTTCAAATCCTACCCAACCATCAGCTAGAGCTAGAAAAATAGGTGGAAAAGCATACCTTATTCGACCGGTTTGGTGGCCGGAGGAGGGAGAAACGGCCGGCGAAAATTGAAGCAAATTCTGTCCAAAACCGCCTGTTGTGTGGCTAATTCCGGAGACTAAGGTGGGGGATCGAGGCGGCGAAGACTAGGGTCTGGAAGAGGGAAGTGTGGTGATTCGTTTGGGACTGGTCTTGCTTGAAACGGAGACCGGAGCTGGGAGAAATCCCCATCTGAAGTTGGTTGGTCGAGCCCCTTAAGTGAGGAAATTCTGGGTTTTGAAAAAACTGAACTTCGAAATATTTACGGTTCTGCCACTGGCCTATTCTTGATCGCCATTTCTTCGTTACAACTCCGATTTGAGCCCACTACGTGTCTACGGACTCTTCTCGATGTGCTCTACCCAACGGTCCAATTGAAATTTCTAAATTCCCTCTCAAACTTAAAATGACCTTTTTGCCCCTTTAATATTAAATAATACTTTAATTTCCAAAAACCTTAATTAATTCAAATCATTTTATTCTATTTCTTATTTCAATTTATTTCCTCAATTAAACTTATCTCCTCTTATTTTAATTATTTAATCATTCCTGGGGTAAAATTGTCTTTTTTTTGAATAATTTAATATTTAACTAATATTTTACGACCGGGTTGTTACACCCATGCTAAAAGAAGAAAGGAAAAGAAGTATGGGATGGAAGCAAACAAGAAGGAATTGAATTCACATGCTTGTAAGGTGTCATCCACTCCAAAGAAGCTCAAATTCAATGCACATTATCTAAAAAGATGATGAAAGCCACAAGGAAAGGAAGAAAAAGAGAAAACAATTCAACAATAGAATTGATTCCAACCATACTAACTTAGACAAGATGAAGTGGGAGTTATGGATTGTATTGAAATAGGAATGGTGGTGTTGGAATTCATCATGATGTTCCTCCATCTTAGCCCTATAAATAGAGAAGTCTTCAAGCTTCAAAACACACATCAAGCTCGCAATCTTCTCTTGAGCTCTCTCTCCTTCCTCCAATTCTAGTTCTAAATTTTTGTTTTAGTTTTATTTTATGGGAAACTAACTCCCTAGCCTAAGGCTAGGGAGAAAGCTTTTAATATGAGTGTGTAATCTTTGTTAGTTTGATCCAAACTTGCTTTAATGTGAATTTGTAGTTTTTGTTCAAATGGAATTTGTAGTTTTTTTTTTAATTAATTGATGAATGTTTGATAATCTATTTCATGGGTTCAATCATGTTTTTCCCATTGTATAGTAAAAACTTTCATGCTTTTAAAAGAGAAGAGAATTACTTAGATTAATAGAATTTTGATGAAGATTATTTGTTGATAGTTTGTTGCCAATGGTACAAGTTATGCTTAGAATACTTCTAAAGGAAATTAAAAAGAGCTTTAATTATTTTGAACCACTACAATGGAAAATATTTTGTGGATCAAATTAATAAGAGTTGCATGCTTATGTTACAAGTGGAACCCCAATGCCTTAGTGTTTTAATCAATTAAATTTTCTCTAAATCAAATCTTGCATAAATCTACCTCTCAATCACACTTATTCTTTTTCATCTCTGTTATTTTCTTTACACTGCTCTCTGTGGATACGACACTCGGACTTCTGAGCTGCACTACTGTACGACACCTTCCCTTGGGTTTTGCAAAGTGGTACGAACACCTCTTAAAGCCCCTGGCCCAAATGGCCTACAAGCGGTTTTCTACCGAAGATGTTGGAAGAATACTAAGAATATGATCAAGGACTTGGTCAATGATTTCCTCATCAATAATGTTTCTCTGCAGGATGTCAATCATACCAATATAGCCCTAATTCCTAAAGTAGATTCCCTTGAGACTGTAAACCAGTATAGGCCCATTAGTTTATGCAATGTCTCTTACAAAATTATCACAATAATTTTGGTAAATTGGCTTAGACCTTTGCTTTCAAAGTGTATTTCTAGAAACCAGGGAGCTTTTGCTCCTCGTAGATCTATTTTTGATAATATTCTTATTGCTCATGAATTATTCCATGATTTTAAAAGACAGAAAGGTAACAGAGGAGCTATGGCTATTAAACTTGACCTTGAAAAAGCCTATGACCTTCTTGACTGGAGGTTCATAAGAGGCTGTTTGGCTCAATTTGGTTTCAGCGATGATTGGTGTGATCGAATCATGAACTGTGTATCTAGAACTTCTTTTTCTTTTCTTATTAATGGTTCACCCTTTGGCCAGTTCAATGCTTCCAGGGGTATTAGGCAGTGAGATCCTTTACCTCCTTATATTTTTATCTTGTGCATGGAGCCTTTTATTAGGCATTTAAATTGTATTGCAAAAAATCCCAAGTCTAATGTGGGTTCGCTCTCTTCCCCAGGAGGTGATCGTATATCTCTAATCTGGTCTTTGCTGATGATTGCCTTATTTTTGCTAGGGCAACTGCCGTGGCTGCCAAAAATATCAATGCTGTGTTAGGTAATTTTTCTAAAGTATCTGGTCAGAAAATTAACTTGCATAAGTCCACCATTTATTTTTCTGGAAATGTTCATACAAGAGACAGAGCAGCGCTAAGTAATCTTCTGCAGATTCAGCATAAGACCACTTTAGGGCGCTACCTTGGCATCCACAATATTATCTTTTGGAAAGATCCTGCTAATGCCAAGCTATTGATGGAAAGGATTCGTTCTAAGTTTGCAAGTTGGAAGGCCAAAACTTTATCTAAAGCTGGCCGTCTCACCCTTATTAAGGCTAGTGTCTCTGGAATTCCCAACCATACTTTCTCCTGTTTTAAATGCTTGTTGCAGACGTTTTTTCTAGGCCAGTGACAATAAGGTCCCCCCAGGTTCTTGGAAAGATATTTGTTTACCAAAATATTTAGGGGGTCTAGGGTTTAGATTCTACTACTCTTTTTAACAAGGCGGCTTTAGCTAAATTAGGTTGGATCTGCTTGACTGATACTACCAGTTGGTGAGCTCATATCGTGACTAAAAAATACTTAACAAGAAACTGTTTTCTTTTTGTTAGAAAAAATGACTTCTCAGTCGCTTTCTTGGAAAGCAATCCTTGATGCTTTTTCAATTCTGCTTAAAGGTTGCA